TCAAACCCTGGGACAGAGGAGTGTAGCGCTGTTAGACTACGTCTAGACTGGCATGATTTTCCGGAAATGCTTTTAATGGAAAAGTTTTCCGTTAAAAGCATTTTCGGAACAGAGCGTCTAGATTGGCACGGACGCTTTTCCGCAAAAGCACTTTTTGCAGAAAAGCGTCCGTGGCCAATCTAGACGTGCTTTTGTGCAAAAAAGCCCCGATCACCATTTTCACGATCGGGGCTTTTTTGCAGAAAACAAATCAGAGCTGTCTACACTGGCCCTTTTGCGCAAAAGGGATTTTTGCCCGAACGGGAGCAGCATAGTATTTCCGCAAAAAGCACTGATTTCTTACAGTGGGAAGTCAGTGCTTTTGCGGAAATTCAAGCGGCCAGTGTAGACAGCTGGCAAGTTTTTCCGGAAAAGCAGGTGATTTTCCTGAAAAACTGTCTAGTCTAGACACAGCCTTCGTGTTTTCATTATATTCATATGTAAATCTGTCACCCTGAACCAAGGTCTAAATAGACTCATGAAGAGGGGCTCTCATTTCAATAGGTAATTTCTCATTCAAGTAGTCTCCCCATCTCATCCCTGGGGGAGATAAGCCACATCCACTCTGATTTAGTTAGCACTGATGTGTTGCTCCTCTAGCTGTATCCTTCCTCCCCCCCCCTTTCATCAGAGGCAAGGAGCTCCATGAAAGTTTATACCCTAATGCATGTGTGCGTCTTCAAAGTGCCACCAGACTCCTTGTTCTTTTTACTGAAACAGACTTGCATGGCTACCTCTCAGCAGCCTGTTTTCTCCTGTTGATCACAGGAGAGCGTTGCCAACTTTCTGATTTCTGAAAATGACACTACAGCAGGAGCACCAGAACTTTGAACCGCGTCCAGAGCCAGATTAATGTAGGGGATTTAGGGAGCTGCATACCAATGCCTCAAGCATGTTTTGGGTGCAGAACTTTTTTGGGGCCCCCTTAGCCCAGGGCAGTCGCCACTAGTTTGAATATTCAGATATACCCTACGTATCTGTAATTCACTATGTAACTAGGAGACTTACCCAGCATTGTTTGGGGTCCTTCCAAGCATGGAGTGGGGGGAGCAGGAGTCAGAGCAGGAAGTGAGCAGGGGCTCAGGATGGGGGTAGTGATGTGGGAGTCAGGGCAGGAGGTTAGAAGGGGGGCTCAGGAGAGGAGTTGAGGGTGACCACTGGCTTCTCCTTGGGATCGGGGGTGGGTAGGGACTGTGCATTGCATTTGGTGGCTTCTCCCTAGGGCAAGGGGGCCCATGCACCCTGTCCTCCAGCTTCACCCTTTGGCTAGCCTGGGGATGGGGGCCCTGCTTCCCAGCCACTAGCTTCTCCCTGGGATCAGTCTGGAGCAAAGGAGCTGTACACCCCATCCACTGGCTTCTCCCCGGGGCCAGACCCCTCTGGTCACTGGTGACTGGCCCACATGCTCAGGGTTTAGCTGATCGCCATATTTGGGGTGGGGAAGGAATTTTCCTCCAGGGTAGATTGGCAGAGGCCCTGGAGGTTTTTCGCCTTCCTCTGTAGCATGGGGTACAGATCACAGCTGGAGGGTTCTCTGCATCTTGGGGTCTTCAAAGTATTTGAAGGCTTCAATATCTGAGATATAGGTGAGAGGATTATTCTAGGAGGGGGTGGGTGAGATTCTGTGGCCTGCACTGAGCAGGGGGTCAGACTAGATGATCATAATGGTCCCTTCTGACCTTAAAGTCTATGAGTATAACAGTCCCTACTATCTCCCCCCCCCTTTCCATGTGATGTGAAACAATCCATTCCAGGCACATCCCATGATCCTGGCACAACCAAACCCTGCCCTTGCTTTACGTTACGATCAGAGGAAGCTGTGTACCCAATGTGGCGGTCCTAGCTCTTACCATATGAGAGTTCTGGAACAAATGGGCTCCCAGGCTGGCAGACAGATGCACGTTTCTAAAATATCTAGTAAGAACAAGGTGGTGTATAAACAAGAGGATCATCCTGGGGAAATGATGCCATTTTCACACTCCCTTACACAGCACCTTCCTCCTCTGGGCAGCCAGGAGCAAGAGCAGGCTGTGAATTTTCCCTCGCTCCCTAGTCAACAAAAATTTTAAAAAACAGCAACTAGAGTAAGTGCAGCTGCAGGCTCCCACCCCTTAAAATGGGGGGCTCCAGGCTGGGGCAGACCCAGATGCTCCCTAGGCAGCTCCTCTAACATGCCAGGCCACCTGATTCTAGCACGGCAGCCTGCAGGAAGCCTAGCTGGGAAGGCCTTGCCTCTCCCTGTGCAGCTAAGTGCCCCATTGCAGTTTCATGGCAGAGCACTGCAATGGGGCACACCGGCTTCCTTCCACCTCGCAGTATATAGATGGTCAGTAGACGTCTCTTCCTCCTCCGCGATGGAAAAAGTGATGTTTTCCAGAGCAATAGCCTGAGCCACCAGGAGATCCAACCAGCATACACCCTTAATGGTGGCTAACGGCAGCACGTGAACATAGCCCCAGCCCGCACCCTCACTGAGCTGGCCAGCAACCATTGCTGCCGCGCAGAGCCTTATATAGAGTCTTTGGCGGGAAAAAACGCTGAGGAGATGGAACCCTCAGCTGCTCTCTGGCGGGAAGAATCAGATTGATCTGGTTCTAGCCGGCACCCTCCAGACCGAAAGGCCCTTTGTGGCTGATGCAATAACAATAATTTAGGGTCACAGTTTCTGGACTCCATTTTGGTTCCACAAAGTCATGATCGCAGTGTATAAAACCAACCATTAACATTATGAAATGATGAACAGTGATTCACAACAGAATGTATTTAATCCCCACTAGGTTTTGGAACAAAGAGATAAACAGTAATAAGTCACCAGGACCAGATGGCATTCACCCGAGAGGTCTGAAAGTGCTCAAATGCAAAATTGTGATGGGGTTTGTAGTCTATCCTTTAAATCCTCTTCTGTACCAAATGACAGGAGAATGGCTCACGTGATGCCAGATTTTAAAAAGGGTTGGCGATCCTGGCATTTACAGGCCAGTAAGTCTTAACGTCAGGCAAATTGGTTGTAACTATAGTAAAGTACAGAATTGTCAGCCACGTACATGAACACAACCCCAGAAGGCCATGGCAGTGTTCCCCAGCCAACAGCTCCTCCCAAAGTACTCCCTGGAGGGCGGCTCTTCCTTGGACAGGAGCTCCAGGTCTGCATGCTTGTCAGGTTGGGGCTCTGTGAGCCACTCTCCAGCCTGCTGGTGCTTCTCCCTCACCCCTCTGCAGCCTGGGTGGGGAAGAAAGCCCCCTGCCTGTTGCTGGCCCCCAGCCTACAGCTGCTCCAAGGGGGGCCTTGCATGGGGAAATGACCCTGTCTTGCAGCCTGTGTGTGTGTATGGGAGGAGGGGGTAATTCTGTGGGCGGGCTCCAGCCATCCTCCCACTCTGCAGCTGATCCCTAATTATGTGGGACTTCTTGGACAGACTTACAGATGGATTCACAGACACATTCTAAAATATATAGAGCGATGTACACTCATCTCGAACATTGCATGCAGCAGTGGTCATGTCATCTCAAAAAGATATCTTGGCACTGGGAAAAAATCAAAAAAGGGCAACAAAAATAGAGACATGGATCAGCTGCCATATGAAGAGAGATTAATGAGACTGGGACTTTTCAGCTTGGAAATTGGGATAGCTGGGGGGAGAATGTGATAGAAGTCTATAAAATCATGACTGGTGTGGCAAAAGTGAATAAAGAGATTAATTTTTCCCATAATACAAGAACTAGGAGTCACCCAATGCAGTTAATAGGTAGCAGCTTTAAAACAAACAAAAGGAAGTGTTTCTTCACACAACACACTGTCAAATCTGTGGACATCCTTACCCGAGGATGTCTTCATCAAGGCCACGACTATAACAGAGATCAAAAAAGTAGTAGAAAAATTTATGGAGAATAGGTCCATCAGTGCCATTAACCGGAATGGTGTCCCTAGCCTCTATTTGTCAACCTGGGAATGGTCAACAGCGGATGGACCACCTGATTGCCTATTCTGTTCATTCCTTCTGGTACATGTCCATTAACCGGAATGGTGTCCCTAGCCTCTATTTGTCAACCTGGGAATGGTCAACAGCGGATGGACCACCTGATTGCCTATTCTGTTCATTCCTTCTGGTACATGTAGCATTGGCCACTGCCAGAAGACAGAGTACTGGGCTAGATGGACCTTGTGTTTGACCCAGTATGACTCCTCTTACGTTCTTAAAGGCAGAAAGATTAGGTCCAAACTAGCATCTGAGAAAGATAATTAAAATACTGTTACAGTGAGAAATCACATGTAACAAGTTCTATTAAGCTTAGCTGGCATGTTTTATTTAGCTTAGTAACTTACTTTGATCTGTCTTATCCCTTACAACCACTTAAATCCTACTCTTATACTTGATAAAATCACCTTTTTGTTTAATAAACCCAGTGTAAATCATTGTTACCTGCCAGAGTGTAATGATATTGTATTATTTTGACAAATTATATTGCATGCAGAACGTTAGGGTGTTTTTTCGTATAGAATTCCCCCAGGAGTTATAGTTCATCTGGCCTCATGGTCAATTAGGCCTTAGAACATGTTGGTTGGTTCATCTTAAAGATTTTACATTTCACATTGGCTTCTCCACCTGTCCTTTGAATGTATCGGTTTCTTTAATAGTAAAGAGACACGTGGTTAACACACTTGTTACACGTTATGTACATAGCTCTTGAATCACATTTCTGTTCCATTTATGCAACAAACAGTTCTTGAGCCTTCTTCCAACTACATGAACTGGGTTGTCCTGCCCCACCCAGAATGAGACAGGGCTGCAAATCCCACCGCTAGAGGTAATTCACTGACTGGAAACATGGTAGGTGGGGGGGGGGATGTTCCTGGCTGGCTGCATCTCGATGGGGAAGCAGAGTGTGTATTTTGCTGCATCGTAGCTAAATGGGGGACAGGGGGAAGCAGAGAGAGAGCACGAGCTGGCTGGATCCCTGCTACAAGGGAACCCCACAGAGGGTCCTTAATAAAACAGACTGTGACTATGTGCTCTAAAGTCCTCCCATTTGTCTGCTCTTCCCCACAGTGCTCAGCCAAGTCCCCTTCCCTGCCACACAATCTCTACTGGGCATCAGGGAGACTGAGCCACTCCCTGTTCTGCATTTGCCGGCGCTGTGTCAGGCTCACTGGCTGCCAAAAGCCCCTCTGGCCCTGTCGGGAGCAGCGGTGCATGGGACCCGGTGCTGGGCGGGGCAGCCCAATTGAGAAGAGTGCTTGCCACAATCAGCACAGCTGTACAGCCGCTCCCCGGTCCGAGAGCACTCGCGCATTTTGAGGTGTGAGCTGTGTGCAAAGTTGTTCCTCCAGACAGAGCACTGGACTGGCCGCTCCAGTCCACGGTGTGTGCACGCTGATGGTCAGTGGCTGCACTAGCACTGCTGAAGCTCTTGTTGCAGTCGTGACAGCTATATGGCCGCTCCCCAGTGTGCACGCATTGGTGTGCTCTCAGACTTGCTCTATGTGCAAAGCTCTTGCCACAATTGGTGCAGTGGTGCGGCCGCTCCCCGGTGTGTGCGCATTGGTGCGCTTTCAGGCTTGATCTATGTGCAAAGTTCTTGCTGCAATCGGTGCACTGATGCGGCCGCTCCCCAGTGTGCATGCACTGGTGCGCAATCAGGCTTGATCTATGTGCAAAGTTCTTGCTGCAATCGGTGCACTGATGCGGCCGCTCCCCAGTGTGCACGCGCTGGTGCACTCTCAGGCTTGAAGTATCTGTAAAGTTCTTGCCGCAGTCAGTGCAGTGGTGCGGCCGCTCCCCAGTGTGCGTGCGCTGGTGCACTCTCAGGCTTGACCTATGTGCAAAGCTCTTGCTGCAGACTGTGCACTGGTGCGGCCGCTCCCCAGTGTGCGTGCGCTGGTGCACTCTCAGCTGTGAGATCTGTGCAAAGCCCTTACCACAGTGAGCACAGTGGTGTGGCCACTCCCCAGTGTGCATGCACTGGTGTGCTCTCAGGTATGAAATTAGTGAAAATCCCTTCCCGCAGTCAGCACAGTGATGTGCCTGCTCCTCACTGAGAGTGCACTGGTGCTGGGTCAGCTTGTTGGCATTGCGAAACGTCTTTCCACAGTCAGCACAGCGGTACAGCTGCTCCCCGGTGTGCGTGCGCTGATGGTGGGTCAGCATGTGGGCTTGGCTGAAGCTCTTGCCACAATCATCACAGCGGTGCGGCCGCTCCCCAATGCGAGCACACTGGTGCACTCTCAGACTTGCCCTATGTGCAAAGCTCTTGCTGCACTTGGTGCAGCAGTACGGCCGCTCCCCGGTGTGCGTGCGCTGGTGCATTCTCAGCTGTGAGATCTGTGCAAAGCCCTTGCCACAGTCAGCACAGTGGTGCGGCCACTCCCCAGTGTGCACGCGCTGGTGAGCTCTCAGGCTCGATTTATGTGCAAAGCCCTTGCCGCAGTCAGCGCAGTGATGTGGCCGCTCCCCAGTGTGCGTGTGCTGATGGTTCGACAGCATACTGGCATGGATGAAGCTCTTGCCACAATCACCACAGTGATACGGCCGCTCCCCAGTGTGCCCGAGCTGGTGCATTCTCAGATGTGAGAGATGTACAAAGCTCTTGCCACAGTCGGTGCACAGGTACGGCCGCTCCCCGGTGTGCGTGCGCTGGTGCACTCTCAGGCTTGAGCTGTCTGCAAAGTCTTTGCCGCAGACAGCACAGCGGTACGGCCGCTCCCCAGTATGCGTGCGCTGGTGTGATCTCAGGTGTGCAGTCTGGACAAAGGTCTTGCCGCAGTCGGCACAGTGGTACGGCCGCTCCCCAGTATGCGTGCGCTGGTGTGATCTCAGGTGTGCAGTCTGGACAAAGGTCTTGCCGCAGTCGGCACAGTGGTACGGCCGCTCCCCGGTGTGCGTGCGCTGGTGTATTCTCAGCTTTGAGCTGTCTGTAAAGTCCTTGCCACATTGGGTGCAGAGATGCAGATGCTTCCTAGTATGCACAGGCCGATTCTGCGTCACTAAGTTGGCATTGTGGAAACGCCTACCAGATTTGGCAGAGCACTGGAGGCGCTGCCCGGCGGAAGTGCACTTATGTTTTCCCAGCTCTGAGCTCTCTGCAAAGCCCTTGCCGCAGTCAACACAGTCATGAGGCTGCTCCCCCGTGTGTGTGCACTGGTGCTGGGTCAGTGCGAAGGGGTTGCTGAATCTCTTGCCACAGTCGATGCAGCAGTGGGGACGCCAGTCCATGGGGCGTCTCTGGTGTGTAGCCAGGTCTGGTCTCTGGCTGAAACTGTCCAGGGGATAGACTGTGTCCTGTGCATGGATCCCCATGAGGGATGTGGAAGCCTGCTTTCCTGTTACGCTCTCCCCGTATTCCAATGGTGTCCTCGTTCCTCCCAGGATGCCGGGCCCTACTGGAGAGAGCAGAAGCCACCACAGTGTTAGCTCACCATTAAGGCTACAGATTTGTCAAGGAGGAAAAAATGCCCCGGGTGATGCAATTGCCTCATGTATCCAGGACATTTTTTTGGCTGGATGCTTCACCCTGCAAGGGTGGCTCCTGTCTCACAGGGCTGGACCCAACACCTCGCACTGGGCACTAACTGACCTGCAGGGTTATACGGCCACTAAGATCTGCCTCCTGCTCTCTGTCATGATGGTGGGGGAAGAGTGGCCTGCCTCAGTGAATAGCATTGCCACCCAGATCCTATCTAGCTCCCTACTACCCTGCAACTCCTCTGCCCCAGGCTGGGGTTGGGTTGCAGCACTGGGGGGAAGTGCTGAATGGTTGGTGTGAGGAGGAAGGCTGGTTTATTAAAAATCATGGTGCAGTCCCAGTAAATGTAGTGGCCCGTGACTTTCACTATATTTACAGCAACTGCTCCAGAACTGTTCATACAAAATGTCCCGATAAGCCTGCAGCCTGGCTCACATGGTTCTACCCTACAGTGGTTGTGCAGCACCTAGCGCTCACTCCAATGAGTGCCATGCACCTCTTGGGTCTCCTTTGATGCCTAAGTTCTAACTCGTCCAGCAAACAGGCAGCACCTGGAACAATGGGGCCCTGATCCAGGACTTGGGCCCTAAGTGCTCTGTTCAAAATGGGTCCATGGTTTGTTTTCAATCAGAGGTTTTTATTGTCCTAGAGTCACCAAAGATCAGGTTTGGAAACGCAGGAGGCCACCTAGTTAGTCCAACCCCTTCCTCAAAGCAGGGCCAACCCCAACTGAACTGTACATGTTGCTGGTTCTACACTCTCTTCTTCTATAGCGTGAGGCCTCTTCACCAGCTGTTGTGCTGTTTTAACTATATTGGTTTGAGCTTCCCTTCACGGGGATGCAGTGAGACTGGTTTAAAGTTGCTTAGAACAACATAGTTTATTCCTCTGTGGGGAGTGAGTCCTTTTCTAGGATACAGAGGCAGCAAGGGCATGTCTGTGTGTGCATGTAGTCATTTGGATCAACGAATAAATCCACCCTTATTGGTTAATCATTTGAATGACTGTAGGCTAACATCCCGACTGCAAGCCAGGCAACGCTGCAGCTCTAGTTCCAGCACCTATGGCCTCGCTGCAGGCATCTGGACTAGATGTGTTGGCCTACATTTCCAGGATTCATATACCTCAAGCCCAGACAACTCACTGTGTTATTCCTGCCTCCAACCAGTAATTTATGACTGAGCAAGAGCAAAGCTTTGAGACACAGATGCCCCATCTCCACCAACAGAATCCCAGGAAGGGAGAACCCATCCTGTCTCTAGGGGAGTTCTTGCAGTGGTGAATTCCCCTCCTAGATAAACGCTGCCCCCTAATTCCCAATCTGAATTGGTCTCCCTTTTGCTCCCAGCCAGAGCATCTTGCTCTGTTTGTTTCCCTCTCCTAGCCACTAGGTAAATCAGAAGGGACTAGATTATGACTCACCAGAGGAGGGACTTTCAGGTAAGGAGCTTTCCATGGAATCCTCAGCATCCCGGATCCAGAGCTCTGCCTCCCCTAGCTCAATCCGCTGGATTAAATCCGGTGTGGAATCTGAATAGCCTGTTTGAAGGGGGGGAAATCAATTTTATTACTACAGTTTTGGGGGCAGGGGACAGCCCAGCACCAAAATACACTGATCTCAGTCAGCATATGTCTGGTGCTGCTTCAGATGATACCACAAGAGACCCCAAGCAGGAGATTAATGAAATAAATCCCTTAGAGGAGATTTCTTCTCATCTCCCACCCTCTCAGTTCAGGCCATACTCTGAAGCAGTAATGTCTATGATCCCTCTTGATACTTTCTGGGGGGCTGAGACATGGCAGATGTTGACAGGTGGGGCCGTTACAGACCTATCAGATCTTTTGTTTAGGGTGCAAACATTGGTCAACTGTATGGTGGCTACATTAACACTGTTTGCCATTCTTTTGGGGTCGGTGTGGAGCTGTTGCAAGCAGTAGGATAATTGTTTCTCTGCCTTAGTTGCCCAAATTAATTCCTGAGTCAAAGCTGCTGCTCTGGGTGGCTGGACAGGGATTCCCGCTGCTGGTAGGCTGTTTGCAACCACCTCTGTGCCAGGACTAAGGTACATAATGCAAGTCACACAAAAGTTAACCGCAGGCTCTGCAGCCCTGAGCTGTGTGTTCGCAGGGAGCCAGCCTGGCATTTGACATTTGCCATCACTGGGCTGCAGCCACACCTGGCAGCTGAAGCTTGGAGAGGACCCAGACACTGCACCGCTTTTAGGAAAGGGAACTTGATCCTTACCCAGGGAAACCAGGGCCCGGTAATTCCTCAGCATCTGCTCCCGGTACAGCTGCTTCTCCGGCGGGGACAGGAGCTCCCACTCCGCCCGGGTGAAATACAGAGCCACGTCCTCGAACGCCACCGGGGGCTGCTGG